ATTTTAACCATTGGTTTTGATTGTAACCATTATTTTCGACGGAAGTCTTTAGAAATAATCGAATGATTTCTCCTTGTAAAGTATTTTCACCTGCTTTTAATCCGACGTGATAATGAGGTCGACTATTGTTAGCTCCTACTAAGGCATTACCATGACTGTCACGACTTTCTTTAAATGATCGACCATCATATTCAGAATTATGTATTTTGTAATACTTTGAATGTTGGTGGAGAATATCAGCTGGACGATAATTTGGAGTGGATATCTCCTCTGCTGGATTATACTCACTACCAGCCATAAATGCATCTGCATTAGTTGGAGGAGCGTCAATATAACCAGTAATTCCATTTGGACCAAATACTTTGATTATATTATCAGGATTATAAAACCAATGGGAGGGCATTGATAGCGAATCAGCAATAAAAAAGCCCCAAAGTGCACCACTTAGTTTATCCACCAAGTTAAGCGACGTCGAGGTCGTTTTTGATTCATTTAAAGCTGACATTTCTAGATGACAAAAAAGATAGCGAAGTAAATATCGAAAGTACCTCACGAACTGAGTGAATGACAATTCGAACTGTTTAGTGAGGCTCAGTTAATTAGTGTGCGAAATATTATTCGTAATAGTAACTTTTTGGTCGTTTTGCCTCTCACGCGCACCAAATACTCATTCTGTTGTTTCGCTTGGTTTTTTTCAACAAAGTCAGAGGTAAGAATAACAATGGTCGTGCAATTACTCTACATACATATGTGTGCATACATACATTAAATAACTTTCTCTCTTCTCTTTTGTTTCTTATGTTTTCAACAAGACATATATTGCATAAGACAAAACCAGACAAGACACAGAATAGAACAAAAATAAAAATACCACACAACGGGTTTTATCTTTTCCTTAGCCTACAACGCATAATAATATCTAAAAGTTTTTATTTTAATAAGTCGAATTGAAAAGAACAAAAGAAAAAAGGATAGAAGTTATATCCTCACATAAATGACAGAAGAGGGATACAACGTTTACTGCACTACAGTATCAGATACTTTCGGTGGTATCCACTTTTTATCCCAAGAATTTGACTCAAGTCGATGTGCATACACATACAAAGGTATAGAACGATCTGTTCCATTGAGTACAGGAGAAGTAGCTCGAATGACTAGTGACTCTTTGACAAGTAATTTATACTTTTGCTTTTCCCTTAAGACAACTTTAAAGTCACTATTCGTAAAAGCATGATTTGTAGCTGCCAAATATTTTCCTACGGCGGCTTTTCGCTCATTTGGTCGCATAGGTTTTAGTTTTGGACTACAGAGTTCTTTTAGCAGCTCCTCAACAGCATCAGACTCGAATTTCTTAACTGATACAAACAAGCTCCGCGTTTGAGAGCGTGTTATTGGACCCTTTTGTTCAAATGCAGCCAGTTTAGCCAAGGTATTACTCGTTTTTGCTTTCGAGATTTGTGATGATTTACCACTCGATGAAACCATATTAACGACTTGTGTTGGATTGATTCATGTGATAGGGAGTTGCGAACCAGCTATTGTCTTCTGCTGATCACTCAAATGCTCACCAATTCTCTTGCAAAAATGCCGGAACGTTTTCCTTATATAACAGTAACCACAAATGGGACATGTAGTCCTAGAAACAGCCCGGATTGTAGCTCAAAAGGCAGTTTATGTTTAGTACTAAAACCTTTTCTAAGTTTATCTGTCTCATAAATAATCGGTCGAGTCGAGATCCTGTTCGCGGTTATGTCGTGTCACGGCAATGTATACCAGAGATACAACATAGAAAAAGCAAATCAATATATTTTTGCCCAGAATTTTATGACATGTTCATCTGCGGGTTTTCATCCAGTCACATTACAATCCCCAAAAAAAGTCCGATTGATCCCAAACTTTTAACACAAATATCTCGGACTCTACCTCAGCTTTTGAATTTTTCTAAAATACGCTTGCATTATCGAGATATTCGAAAAATGCTGAACAACCTAAATAAAACGTATATAAGAAGTCAGTTTTTGATTTTAAAAACCTTTTCACGCCACAGCGCAAGCGTATTTTCCATTCGTGAAGTGAGTTGACAATGAGTGAATATAAAGTTTCTGTTGATCACTTATATGATATTATACACAGACGAAATAAATTGGAACACAATTTAACAATAACTAATATAAATATCAAAGATCGTCAAAATTTTTCCCCCTGTCAAAAAATATCGAATGAACAAGTATTAAACCTATTAGTAACAAACCCCAGTGCGACAGCCACATATAATTATTTGGTGTTATTAAACTTATTGATAGGTGCATATACAGAACGAACATGCCTATTAAAACATCGAATTTATTACGCTTGGATTGTTGTCTTTTATGTGCGCCTGTGGAAAATGTGGCTCCATTTGACAAAATCAGCTAGTCAAAAATCGAATACGACAACGTCAAATAAGTCCAAAATAAAAATCAAACCTGAATCGCCATATTTCATTACATATAGTGCATATTGGTCAATTGAGATAAACGCTCATAACCTGATAAAGTATATATTGGATGAGTTTTTTTAGAATAAAGGTCTATTGGTTTTTTTGAAAGCAAAAGATATAGCTGACGCAATGGCAGCTAAGTCTTTCGTATGCATGAAAGTCCGATTTTATAAGCATGACATTTGAATTCTGCGAAGTAACCAAATTCAATAGGCTTCATATCGGAATGGCAGACGAGTGTGCAAATGTGTTTGCGATGCAGTACGAAGTTTAAAATATTCAATGGCTATTTCAATGAATATTTCAATCAGACGTGCGCGATTACAATTACAAAATGTAAAGTTTAAACATTGCTATTAGAATTAAGAATTCTAGAATTATGAACTTTACATGTATGTAAAGTTGAACTTTACTTGTTCAGAATTTTCTAAAATTCTGAATTCTAGGGGAGAATGTGGGGGTGAGGATGAGTGTGAATAAGCAACTTTACATGTATGTAAAGTTCAGAATTCTAGAATTCTTAATTCTACAGATAATAGCAATGTATGAACTTTACATTTTGTAATTGTAACCGCACAGCCCTCATTTCAATGAATATTTTATTCGTTTATATGTGGCAATTGCATTTCGCCTTGAGCGATTAGAATATTTTCTTGAAGGGTTGACTAAAATTTAAAATTCGATCTTCGTTACCTTGTAGACAAAAATATTAACTTCGAAATAAAGTGAAATTCACTCTTCCATCGTTGTATAATCCAACAAAAAGTTTCGGGATGTTTCAAATCCGCTCCTCGCTCAAGTATGGTCCCTTTCACCGACATTTCCTGAACATTAATAAATGGCGGTTTGAAAACTTTATCGCAAACACAGCTAAGGCACAATTTCTTTTCCCAAGTGTCACTCTAATAGAATGGAGTATCGTTTTCAAAATAAGGTGGCACAGGGTCTTAACTAACGCTTGAGCACTGACTAATCACGTCGACTATTACAGTCCTGTTCAAAATTAAAAGAACAACGAGCTTTTAGTGTCAAAGAATTTGCGAATTGAATTATTGCGTCAACACTCTGATTTGTTCAATAAAATTTTACGATAACAGCCATCAGTTTTATTCGCGATGTTTTTAAATCTTGTTATCAACTCAATACTAGATAAATTATCTCTTTGTATCAGAAGTACTAGAAGAAAAATTGAAAATTTTGATTTCGAAAACGCATGAATTACGGTAATTAGAAAAATTATTTAAGATTATTTATACATTTTAAATAAAAATTATTTAAAATTATCTAAGATAGAGAAAAGTCTGGACTACGTCTCTAACGCTCCCATATGTTAGAGACCACGATCAATGAAGCAATAAAGGCTTGCTGATTTTTAAACTAGAGAAGCGAAAGGCTTCAGTCATAAATGTGTCATTCGACGTAAGTACGCCAGAGGCAACACTTAGATCTCAAAAAACCGAGAAGACGGCCGAACTGTATTTGATATCGTATTTGAACAAGCATCAGATATAAACTACACTTTAGACACGTGCAGGTGAATTCTTGTGGATTATCACGTTTACATTTTTCAGTACACTGATGAACAAACGAATTACCGCAATAAGTACGGATTGATGAAGACTTTCATGCATATGAAAGACTTAGCTGCCATTGCGTCAGCTATATCTTTTGCTTTCAAAAAAACTAACAGACCTTTATTCTAAAAAAACTCATCCAATATATACTTTACTACATCGTCTAAAGTTGTTCAAATATGTGGAAAAAAGATGCTGAAATAGAACTGCTTACCGTCACACGCTTCTTCTCTGATAGTAAAACATTAAGCGTATACATTTAAGAGTATGAAATATGAGTTTGCTTGCTTAACATCGGGCTACAGCGAAAATCAAAGGTATCTAAAAACGTTGCAAATGTTTAGAGTGGTTGAACACTAGGATAAAACTTTTTTTGCCTATATATACACTTTACCAATTTACTTATATTTATAGAATCAAACAGATATGACTCTTGTTCATGGTCGATTTTCCACAACATTGTTGACATACGTTTGTCATACAACAGATAAGAGGAAACGTTCATCTATCAACATTAGTCTGTAATTAATAGCCTACTTGTATGACAAAAGGTCGTGTAGAGCTCGAAGATGTCTCATTTTGATCCCAATTTCACGAGCTACAATTATGCCTTATTTAGAAATAGTTTTGGGCGTTTTTTGAGGTTTTTGAAAAACTGATTTTTCAGAAACCAGTCTCTGGAGACCTTAGGACCATCGATAACGTATGACTCACTGGATTTTGGCCCGCAAACGATTTTCAAGGGGGTGGACTTCCCTCGTAAGTTTTGAACCCACTTGGGTATTAGCACCGAAATATATAATATACAGAAGCCGCTGCGAAGTTAACCTTCCTGTTAGTATATATTGTAAAATTTTCCAAGACACATCGAATGATGTATGAATGATTAGAGATCTCTATCTGTAGAAGAAACTAGAATCATTTTTGTGTGGCACTACGAGTAAAATTGAGATGCCTGCCAAGTATTAGTCCAACACATCTATGAAGGCAAACTTTAAAAGCAATCTGTTATAACGCATTGTGTAGTCCTTTCCATTCTGCGTTTTTCTATGTATAAACCATTCCAGATCTGAATGTGCTGACAAAACTATATCCCTTTTATTATATTCAATAAGAGTTACATACACGGGAAGCAAATAGTCATAGATAATGTTTGGCCAATAACTCTTTGAAGACATTAGTTTAAAAAATGTGCTATGTATCACTTTAAAGCCCGTTTAATTACGCATGTTTTTGAGTATATAAAATATTCCGATTCTGAGCAGATGTACAAGAAATGTTCCTTTAAAGCCTTAAGATAGGTAAAAAACATGATATCTGTCGAGTATTTTGACAATTGTCCTATATGGGCATATTTCTGGGAAGATTATTTTTACCTCATTCTAAAGCCTGGAAAAGTCTCTACCTTTCTATGTATTAACTGTGGTTAAAGTCTGTGAAATCGTACGAAAAATTTGAAGAACAAAGTGAATGGTCTTCGTTGAACTGTCCGAAGGTTTCTCA